CGCCCCCTGTACTTGGCGCCCGGGGACATATGTACCCCCACCCTCCCCCTAGCTACGCCTTTGCAGCATCGTCTTCATCAATCTTTATCACACAACATAACAATTTTATTAAAAAATATCAGTGGTCTTCGTCATTATCCGGTCATAAAAACTAAAGAGGAAAAATTAATTAATATTGTTCAATTAATAAATTATAAAACAATGTATTTTATCTTACAGCAATTTTTATAGTTTAATTTTTTAAAAGTTCATTCAACTTTTGACATACGCACGATTTGTATCGGCACAAACTTGCCAAGTAACTAAACTTATCGCACACAAAAATTAATTTTTTAAACATCCAGAACATTCAAAGTTCACAAGTCTTCAAAGTGGCTAATTGAATAATTTAAACTGAAGTGGTGCTTCAACTTTCAAATTTTTTTATATTAGAATATTTCATATTGTTTTTGTTAAATTGACAATTTTTCTGAAAAATTGAATATAAACAGAAAGTTATTTTTGAAAGAATTTTGATCACTGTAGAGTCTTTCACGATGGAACCTTTAAAAAAAGAAAAAATATCTTATGCTGAAGCGTTCGCTGAATTCAGGAAACATGCAAGTAAAAAATTTTTTTCATCGAATGTACATATTTTGTGTTAATTTCACAACAATATAGTGTTATAACTCTCCCGGTCGACGAGGGGTTCTTTTTATCCCAGTAAAAAATTGTGACAATATAACTCTATAATTATCGATTTATTTATTTAAAAAGCAATAATCAATTAATTAATTAATTATTCAATAATCAACGTTAATTAATTTTTCTTATTGAAGTTAATGCCCACAAACTATCATATTTACTGGAAACTATTAATACTTCGCATATCTTTATATACCCGTTTTAACGATGTTTCTCGAAAGTCATTGATATCTTGCCGTCAGAAGGTTCTAGTTCAAACTATATGCGTTCATGGCGACACTAACGTCTCTAGCAAATTTTTGGGTTCATACATATAGTATATTCCAATAAAATTTTGTTCGTGCGTTTTATGGTCTGAGTTAAAATTAAAGAGTTTAAAGTTTTTGTTCGTTTTAAATGTGACAATTAATTGATTTTTCATTAATAGTTAGCATTTTAACGTTTTGACTATTATTTTCTTCCTTAAAACCAGATACAATATTTTTCCTATTAATGTTGAGTTTACTTTTAAATTGTCACACTCTTTTCAGCAATTTGTTAATTGAGGGAAAAAATCTTACTGAAAGATTTTCCTAAATGGGAAAAAAGTGAAATCGATAACTTCAGTTTCAACGGTTGCTTAAATTTAAATTCAGTTGGTAATGTCAAAGATATTAAATATATAACTTGTGTGGAACCTAAAAAACGAGGGATGTTCTACATGAATTATGTTTAGTAGAATCATAGAGTGCCTCTTTTGAGTTATCTTAAGAGGCGCTTATTGTGTTTCGTTTTGTTGAAAATATGTTGTTTCAACACCTGACGACTTAGTACCAACTTTTTGGTCAAACGGCAGCATTAAAATAAATAATCGAAATTCGAGATGTTTCGAAAAATAATAAAAATAACTTGTGTTATTTTTCAACAAAACATTTATTTAGCTTATTTTAGTTTATTCGATACATTTTTTCTAAAAGTTAGTTTGGTCTTAGACTTTTGTAAAGTTGTTTCATTCAATGTTCGAAAATTACTGTATCATTTATTATTTTTCAGTTATCAACAGAACCTGCTTGCCAACGGAAACTGCCAAACAGTCCAGTTATTATTTGCAAAATGGGGCAGTGTACTCGACGATGGTCTGCAGTGAAAACTTATGCAACAAAGCCTGTTCAACATTCGGAGTAGCCACTTCATCGATCGTTGTACTTGTTATAGGGGCTGCAATGTTTCTTGGGTTGCAATAAATCAGCTGAAAAGAATTCGATGAAACTTTTTTTGTGATTTTATAAAATAGAAACATATGCTAACAAAGTATTCATTTTTTTTCGAAAATTTAGTTTAGTTAGAACGATACTTGAAATATGAGTTGGTTTCAAAAATATACAAAAAGTATGGGCGACTTCACGCTCAAAAGATTAAAAAGTTTTGCTGAATGTTTGTTTGTTTGATTGATTTTTTGTTTGATTGATTAATTGATTGATTAATGGATTGATTGATTGATTGATTGACTGACTGACTGACTGACTGACTGACTGACTGACTGAGTGACTGACTGACTGGCTGGCTGGGTGACTGACTGACAGACTGACTGACTGACAGATTGATTGACTGACTGCCTGACTGCCTGACTGACTGACTGACTGACTGACTGACTGACTGACTGACTGACTGACTGACTGACTGACTGACTGACTGACTGACTGACTGACTGACTGACTGACTGACTGACTGACTGACTGACTGACTGACTGACTGACTGACTGACTGACTGACTGACTGACTGACTGACTGACTGACTGACTGACTGACTGACTGACTGACTGGATAGACTGGTGTTTTAGTTTTTATCAGCTTAATTAATATTCTATTTAGTGACATCATTCATATTTGAAATTATATATTTGTTCTATCGATTTGGGTTTTTTTTTTTTGTTTCTATTACTTACATGCTTTTAATCATTAAAATAGATCAACTGTATTTTTTAAATGAATCTTTTGAATGATATAAACAAAAACTTGAAATAGTTTTTAATTATTCGTAGATAGTGGCTAGAAAAATATTAGCTATTAATGAAAAAAAGTTATTTTTTTTGGAAGTTATTTTGTAAGTGTTTATTACAAATGAAAACAATACTTATTTCTAAACAATATTTATTTGAATATAAAAAATATTTTTGTTTTGGAAAAATTTAATTGTTTATAATAATTTTTAATTTAAAATAATAGATTAATTAGGAAAGAAAAATGTTAAAAAAATTAATTCGTTTCAATAATTTTCATGAACCAACAAGATGAATATGGAAAATGAAGTAGATGGATAATTTCGATAATGAAGAACAAAACGTGGAATTAGTTTGATTTATTTTGATTTTACCAAACGCAGGACTACGGGAAAAAACCAAAATGCTGATGCTAAAAATGTTTCCAATTTAAACACCTTGATTGAACTATTTCAAAGGGTTAATTTAGAAAAAAAAAATCATTCTATATGTCTAAGAAACTTCTAGTAATATCTTAAAATAAAAAATGACAATAATTAAAAAAAAATTAAATACGAAAAAAGAAATGAGAAGGTAGAAGATGAAAAACTTAATTATAATTGAAGTTTTGATCTTGCTGAAAAAGCGAGAAAACCGTAAGAACAAATTAATTAAAAAACATTAATTATTAATTTATTAATTATTAATTTATTCAATTATTTTTTTCATTACTATTTTATACTAATGTCTTGCATGCTGTAACAGTTTCTGCGTCTGTCAGATCCTGATTTTTTAATGAATACTAATAAAAAAGTTTAACTGCAAGTTAATGAAACCTTTATTCGGCCTTTATTTAAGCTTTCTGTATCGGTTTGGTCTCCAGTACTCAAAAGCGACTGCCATTTACTCGAGAGAGTGCAACATCGCTCTACAAAATGTCAATCAGAAATTTACGTTAAAAAAGCGTCCCAAAGTGTTAGATTTAACCAATCTGGACAAAAGAAGACCACGAGGGGACCTGATTCAGTTATATATAATTATGCATGATGTACATAATTTTGATAAAGAAAATAATTCAAATTCAGGTCAGGAAACACCGTTTTAAGTTTATGAAGACAAATATTTTTTGAATAGATCAGCAAATCTTTAGAATTCATTGCGAAGTAAACAAGTGGAAGCGCCTACAAGTGAACAGTTTTACTACTACCGAATTGTATTTTAATTGCTTTTAATTGCTTTTAAATTTTCAAACTCTACAACTAGGCCCCATGAATGAAATGTTTTATTTTCAAAACAAAATGGGTCAACACATTTCTGGTGCACGTATGTTCAGAAAGACATTATCAAATAATTTGTTATCTTCGACTTGTTCTCAAGACATCAAGACAGTATTAAACGAGATTAAAACTGACATTGTTTTAAAACGAGACAAAGTCGAGTCTAAAATGTTGATGTCTCAATATCAAGAAAACATGGAGTGATAACTAAACTTTTTTTTTAAATAAAATAAAAATAACGATAAATAGTTTAATTCAAATATTTTATAAATAAAATCTTCAATTAAAATCAGCATCGCAGAGGCGTTGTCAGGGTATTTTGCGCCAGGGAACAAACTATAAAATTGGCGCCCCCTTCTACATGTTTAATCATATTTTTATTTGTAAAAATAACTGTTTACAAAAACAAATCAAATTTTAATACAGCATTGTATTTAAAGATAAAACATAAATATACAAATTAAAACATATGATTCAGTCACTGTCAAAGATAATTTATATAGTTCTAGTTTACTCCTGTAAAAATTTTTTCTGCCTCATTTTGGCGCCCCCTGTACTTGGCGCCCGGGGACATATGTACCCCCACCCTCCCCCTAGCTACGCCTTTGCAGCATCGTCTTCATCAATCTTTATCACACAACATAACAATTTTATTAAAAAATATCAGTGGTCTTCGTCATTATCCGGTCATAAAAACTAAAGAGGAAAAATTAATTAATATTGTTCAATTAATAAATTATAAAACAATGTATTTTATCTTACAGCAATTTTTATAGTTTAATTTTTTAAAAGTTCATTCAACTTTTGACATACGCACGATTTGTATCGGCACAAACTTGCCAAGTAACTAAACTTATCGCACACAAAAATTAATTTTTTAAACATCCAGAACATTCAAAGTTCACAAGTCTTCAAAGTGGCTAATTGAATAATTTAAACTGAAGTGGTGCTTCAACTTTCAAATTTTTTTATATTAGAATATTTCATATTGTTTTTGTTAAATTGACAATTTTTCTGAAAAATTGAATATAAACAGAAAGTTATTTTTGAAAGAATTTTGATCACTGTAGAGTCTTTCACGATGGAACCTTTAAAAAAAGAAAAAATATCTTATGCTGAAGCGTTCGCTGAATTCAGGAAACATGCAAGTAAAAAATTTTTTTCATCGAATGTACATATTTTGTGTTAATTTCACAACAATATAGTGTTATAACTCTCCCGGTCGACGAGGGGTTCTTTTTATCCCAGTAAAAAATTGTGACAATATAACTCTATAATTATCGATTTATTTATTTAAAAAGCAATAATCAATTAATTAATTAATTATTCAATAATCAACGTTAATTAATTTTTCTTATTGAAGTTAATGCCCACAAACTATCATATTTACTGGAAACTATTAATACTTCGCATATCTTTATATACCCGTTTTAACGATGTTTCTCGAAAGTCATTGATATCTTGCCGTCAGAAGGTTCTAGTTCAAACTATATGCGTTCATGGCGACACTAACGTCTCTAGCAAATTTATTTGCAACGGTTATAACACTACACCCTTTTCAGTTCTGCTCGTCCCGAACCGAGTTTGTTGTAACGTTTGCATAGAATGGAGCCAGTCTGTCCAAATGGACAATCTTCATTCTTGTCCGAGGCTACCGATGTTTCATGAATTCAGTAGACGATGCCGTTTAATCGGGTTATGGTCGGATAAGGTCTTTTCCAATATTGTTGAAGCTTTGTAGACCGTCTTTTTTCCGATGAAGATTATACATTTTTACCAAATTGTTGGCGTTAAATCACATCAGTGTTTCCCTTCTGACAGTACCGGGTTTTGAATGTTTCACCATTTTTTTGTTCAATTTAAGGTACGTGTATTGGTGGATGCTGTTTAATCACTAACGGATATTTTCTACATAATCTGATATTGATTGTGGACCTCAGGTAGTACGCCATATTTTATATCAGCTAGGGTTCTTATTGTACTTCCAAAAAAGATCTTTGAGGGAGTTTCCCCAGTAGTTTAGTTGATGGCACTTCGATATGCCATTAGGAACAGTGGTATTTGTCGATCCCAGTCTTTTTGGTTTTTGTCAACTACCTTGGCCAAATGTTCAATTGTTGTTGAAACGTTCTACCATCTCATCTGACTGACGATAAGGAAGAACTGTTTTTGTGTTCTTTATACCCAGTAATTGACATAGCTCACCAAACAGTTGCGACTCAAATTTTCGACCTTGGTCTGAATGCACCTCTATGGGAACACAATACCGAACGATCTAGTTCATTACAATCTCTTCAGCGACAATACACGCTTTTTTATTTGGTATCGGATACTACTTCAGGCCACTTGCTAAGATAGTCTGCTACAACAAAATGGAACGGTTTCTATCATTTGATTCAGGAAATGGTCCGGCAATATCAAAAGCAATTCTTTCGAAGGGCACACCAACGTTATAGATTTGCATTTTCCCTCGTAACTTCATTTTGAAACTTTTCACTGCTGCGCACCAACTTTTCACATATTTGTCAGCGTTAACCCAGTATAATTTCTCACAAATTTTGTCAAGCGTATTATTAATTTCAAGATGTTTTCCAAATGAGCTATCATGCTTTTCTTTAAAAATTTCCGCAATTTTATTCCTAAGTACCATAATCTGCATGTCATGTTTCGATCCATTTGTTGATTCCCATTTCCGTTTGAGCAACCCATTTTTCAAATTCAAGAAGTCCCACTGAGCACAGCAGTTTTTCAAGGACCAACCGAACTCAAATATGTCGCTGGCCTGATTTCTTACATGCAATGACGAATTGTTAGTCTTAGCCTGCAGACTGATGCGCTTGCTAGTTCTTTCGGTGTCCATTCTGTCATCTAAATTTTTTTTACATCTTCTGTTTGTACTTTTTCTTCCAGTTGACTGCAGTATTTGCAACCTTGTAAACAAAGTTGACGAAACAAAGCATCAGCGTTGTTTTGGAAGGTTCCTTTAGGGTGCACAATTTTAAAGTTATTTGTAATCGTTCCAACTATCGTACTACCTGTCCTTCTAGATCATTAAAATTGAGCAACCACTTTAACGCTGCAAGATCCGCTTGAAGACAAAATTTTCTGTCCGTAAAGGTACTTGTGGAAATGTTTGGTTGTCATGACCATCGCTGGCAACTCTTTTCTGGTGACGCAGTAGTTACGTTCAGACTTTGTAAAACTTTTGCTGTAATAGGCCAAAACCGCCACTGAAACAAAATTTATTATCATTATCATCATTACAAATTGTTTATTAAGATCTAAACAAAGTGTACGAAGGAACATATGCTGAAGTGGAGAAAGGTTATCTGGACCACGTGCAGCATGCGATTTCAATTGGATCAGGACCTGGAATCAATGATTTGACTTTTTTGAAAAAGTTTGAAATTTTTAGAATTTTTTTACAACTATTTTATTGTTTGAACGATTTCTCCTCAAGCAGATTGACTCCAAATTTGACTGACTTCACCGCCGTTGAGATAAATAAATCTTGTTTGGATGAATTATCAGATAATTTAAAAAAGTTTCTTCCCCGCAATGTTAACGTGAAAATTCACTTTGGGGCTGCCCAACATTGGAAAGGCCCTGAACCAGGGGAGTCCAAAGCTGATCTGGTCCTCATGTTTCACGCCTTGTATTATTTTAACAAGGATGAACGAAACGTTGGTGATTTTCAAAACGTATTTTTGTAAAGTTTGTGAAATTTTGTTTATACTACAATGAAATAAGCTGATTTATATATTCCCGTAAGGTAATTTTTAGAAATTGTTTCGACAGTTGGTTGAAGCCAGACGGAAAGTTATTTATTTTGAATAATAAGGACCATTTCGAAAGTACGTGCACAGTTTCAATAATTTATTAATCACAGAAATGAATAACATAGATTAGATAAATTATATTAAGTATTCGAGCACAGTTCATTGGCCAAATTGATCTGATTAATGCCGGCCATTTGTTTTTATCGATCTTCTCAGGATTTTTCAAAATAAAAATTTTTAATTTTTTAAACCACTTTTGAATTACCCTTAGGTACGACGCATAATTTTATTATCGAGCTATTTATTGTTTATGGAAATAAATGTGGTCCATGATATATATGAAAAAGTTATCTTTAGCAAATAATTTTATATTTCAGTATTTTTTGTATTAAATAAATCATCCGGTACTAATTTAACATGAATTTCAAGCCGCTAATAAAGTTTTAACCTTAGAGATATAATTTTTCCATTATAACTACAAATTCTATTAAAAAAGTCATGAAATGGTGTAATATCAAATCCAAATGCATGGAGTTACAAGGATTAGATTCAAATTTTGGTAAAACACGTGGTGAGTGTATCAATGCTAGATTTCGATATATATTGACGTAACCTATACGTAACATGCTAATTACCCTATACTAGTCATGGGGTGATGCTTTTTATAACGCAAAGGCTTATATGTAACTAATGAACTTCATACGCAAGTTAAATATTTCATAAACTTTGTATATTTTGAAATTTTGAACTTTGGCAACAACTTCTTATTCAGAAAACTAATTTTCAAAAAAAAATTTAAGTAATAATAATAAGTAATATTCATTTCTTATTCAAGTGGTGCTGAAAAAACGTGTTCACGTTCTTTAAATAATCAGTTATTAAAGATTTAGAAAATAATTTAAAAAAATTAGAAATGTTAATTTTTTAAATTAAAAAAATTCTTCACAGCTGCCACGACCAACTTCATGAACGACATCTACCGAGAAACAGGCAGGAAACCTCAGGTGGAGTCCTTCATAATCAAACAGGAACTAATTAAGCTTGGATACATAATCGATAAAGTTTACGACTTCGAATATTACTATGATTTGAAATCTTTAAACGACTTTGTAGTGGCTTTCATCATGATAAATGCTGATCCGCCTTATGAAAGTGAAGATATTGTTAAGGAAACTGTGAGAAAACTCGTTGAAGCAGGCAACAAAGGTTACACAGGTGGCAATCTCTTCAGTGTTATCAAACTGAAATAATTCACACAAACATCTCAGCCGACTTTAAATTTAGAAAGTTAGAAGAAATTACGCTTTGAACGAAATATTTTGGGGAATTTTATTTTGGTTTTATCTTCTTTGTTATTACTTTTTGGTAATACATTTTTATCATTTAACTGTGAATTTAAAAAAAATTGAAGAAACGATAAACCAATAAAATAGACAATTGTAAGTTTGATAAGGTTGAGGTTAAATTGAATGAAAAATTCATACAAATTTGTAAAAAAAGATAGCTAACTTTTCTTAGCATATTCAAGCCCAACAAATTTATGGCCATGCCACCAACCTCACATGTTTGTTTGTTTGTTCGTTTTTTTGTTTATTTGTTTGTTTCTTTATGTCTTATGATTTTTTTATAAGTTAAAATTTAGTATATACTCTCATTTTTGATGACAATTTCTCAACAGACTTCAACTTGATCATATTAATTAAAGTAAACGCTAGTGGTGTCCTAACGAAAAACATAGTCAGAAACCGAACCAAGTCACAGTGAAAAGGGCCCAGTAACAAAGTCACTCTAACCTATATAAACAGACGTATATAACAAAATCCGCATTCAACGCTGACGATGACAAATGGTTATCAAAAAAAGCAATTAATGTTAGAATGTACCAAAATGAATATATTGAATTAAAATGTTGTTATTGAACTGAACAAATTTGAAAAACAACTGAAATTCGTCCTAACTTTGACAAAAAAAATTGAAAAATTAAAAAAACTCAATTGCAAATAGAACAATGACTGCAATGCGGTGATATTTATTGGTTGGAAGAATTCCAATTGCCCGTTGTTGAATATTTATTGTCGGATCTCTTCGTTCTATAAGTGAGTTTTGATTCGGCTAGTTGTAAATTCTAATGGTTGTTATTGTAATGTAAGACTTCAATGTTGAAGATGGTGTATACATATATATATATATATATATATATATATATATATATATATATATATATATATATATATATTTGAATTTGTATATAATAAATTTATTAAATTGAGTAATGCCAACAATTCGGTAGAATTCATACAAACTGTATATACGCGAAATAAATAAATAAATATATATATATATATATATGAAAAATTAATTTTAGTTTTAGAACAAATCACACTTTTAATGTTGTTGCAATATTGTAGTTGCAGTTGACTTAAACGTACACGTTTAAACTTCGTAAGATATATATGCAACAGCCCTAGCTGATGTTTTCTCTAGTCAATAGAATAAATCAGTCTACCCATGTGCTTGGTAGTACCCTGAATTTGATTGTTACATCAGATAGTTTTTTGTTGGAAGATGTTATTTATTCAAACCATGGTTCAGTAACTGGTCAATTTTTAATTAATCCGACTCCAGTCATTTTTAAGAAAGCGTGGATCAGATCCTGGAAACGAGTGGATAAAAAACGTCTGACTGAGCTTTTTAGGTGCTCACCTATCTCGAAACATTTTTCAGGATGATCATGTTGAATCGGGTTTTAAAATATTCAATGAAGAGCTTTTAAAAATTGCTGTCGATGTTGCACCACTTTATGAAGTTCGATGGAAACATGTCCCGACTGCACCATGGTTTGACAGTGACTGCAAAAAGGCTAAGTAAATGTGTCAAAAAAAAGAAAAAAGTTTCAGAACTACTGGTTGTTATAACGATTAAGTTGATTGGCTATTAGCAAAGAAACAAAAGAATGTTTGTTACTCAGTGAAACGAAGGAGTTTTTGGTTCGCGAAATCATGTCAATTTCTGAACAGAAATGTCATGTCAAGTCATGTCAATTAAACAGAAATTTTAAAGTTATTGATAAAAATGTTTTTATGTTATTATATAAATCCTTAGTTATATCTCAGCTGGAGTATGCAGAAAGTGTGTGGTCACCATGGACAATACGTGAAACTGAAGCGATCGAAAACGTTCAGAAGAGGGCAACAAGGATGATCAAGGACTGTGAGGGAATGAAACATGAGGACCGATTAAGATTTTTACAACTGCCAAGACTAAAATACAGACGAATAAGAGGTGATTTGATAACGATGTTTAACATGTTGAATGAAAAGGACCAACGAAGCTTGCGGGAAATATTGAGAGCCACCAGACGAACAAGAGGACATGAGATGAGGCTAACAGCATTGACAATCCATACAAACTTAAGAAAAAAATATTTTATTAATATTTGGATAATTTAAATGATGATGATGTTAATTGCAGTTATTTTAATGAGTTAAAAAAAAAGTTGGATGATTTTCTTATGAATGCTAAATTTAAATACGATTGGAGAGCGGAGTTAAAGGATGGCTGGCTATTCGTGAATGTTGTTCATAGATTATGGATGATGGTATAAATGTTTGTTTTGACATGATTGTCTTAAAGAGAGGACAATATATATGATTGGTTGAAATTGGAATTTTTATGAAGAAAGGTTTGCATACATATATATAAAATATAGGTAATTGAACTAATAATAGAAATTATTCTCCTATATTTTTGTTTATATTTTTATTTGATCTTTATGTATGAACAGAACATATTAACATATATTCATGTATACTGTTTATGTGCTAAAATTTTATAGTTAATTTTGTGTTGCGGGCATAGGGACATAAGTAGAAATAACTGGAAAATTAAAACATTTAGTTGACTTATCCTTCGCCCATTTTTTTTTCCATAATAATAATAATAATAATTCAAAAATAATTTCAAATACATATGGCAAACAATTGATAAACTGTTAGGAAAAGAGACAATGCATAGCGCCGATGATTTTAAAAATTTTTTGCTGACAAGTTGAAAGTGACCGATAAGTCAACTGAATGTTTTAATTTTCCAGTTATTTCTACTAATATTATGTTCCCACTCGAATCGTTTCCAGTGTTGACTGAAGAACAGATATCGTCACCTACAAAGTCATTCTTACTCGACCCAATATCGATGCATGTATTCAAAGAATATGCTGACTGTTTTATTGTCTACTTAACGGACATAATCAACATGTGCTTAACGAAGGGTGTAATGCCACAGGTTTGCAAGCATGCAATAGTCACGCCAATTCTAAAGAAGACAGGATTAGACAAATCGGATCTAATGAACAATTGGCCGGTGTCAAATTTGTCTTTCGTTTCTAAAATTATAGAACTTTCTGTTGAGTTAGTTTTGAATAATCATATAAATAAAAATGGTATTTGGCTATGTACATATATATATATATATATATATATATATATACATATATATATATATATATATATATTGATGTTTAATCCATGATCATATTTAATTACTAGATTTTTCATCCAAATTTGTTGTATAGAAATGTTTTTTGGAGATCTGCGAGTAAACATCTAATGACTAAGGTGTTAGTTATGCAAAATAGTTTTATACACTTATGTTTCAATTTACATACTTATTACTTTTTTCGCAGTCACCAAATTCTTAAGATTGATCAACTACCTCCTAACATTTTATCGATTTTCATCTATAGATTCAGTTTACGAAGATTTTAAGCATTTAAATATTTGTAGTCAGGTTAGAAATGGATGTGCTGAGCACATCCTTTTCTAACACAATGACCTTAATAACCTTTTCTAAATAGGAGCACAATGTGCTGAGCACATTGTGCTCCTATTTACAACAATGTAGAACGTCTGTTTTTTAAAGAAGCTAGAATTTAAATTTAATTAAATTATAGAACTTACTGAGATTTTAAGCTTTATATTTAAAAAAATTATTATCTTTACTTGTCATTTCTTGAATTAAAACTTTTATTTTATGCTTTGTAACTAAATTATGAATTTGTCTTTCAAATATTTCATGTATGGTTCGGACTTATGATTTTTGTTTGGATGTATTTAGTATGTTTTTGTCTTTTTTCTTTTAGTTTAGTGATCAGAGGACATTATTTAGTTAAGGCTGGTCTGCAAGTAAATTTTAATTTTTTGGTCTCCTGACTTTTTGTTGAATAAAATTTAGATTAAATACATGTGTTATATATATATATATATATTTTGTTAAATTTATTTGCCCATTTTGCATTTATCAACTTTTTTATTATGGACTCAACACAGCGCAGTTTTTGACATTCATATTTATTGTGAAATTGTGACATATTAGAAGCTGACAACGTTGTTTCGGCTAAGTAGCCATCATCAGAGCCTAAAACCAATGAAATATAAGAAATTCAATTAAAATAAATGAGAATTAAATGAATTATGTAAATTATTTAGCGGACATGATAGATAAGATATTAAAAATAAAATTGGAATTGAGAGTGAAGTTAAAATGGTACCTTGCGAAGGATGTAACCTAAAAAATAAATTTAATACTAAAACATGAAATTAAATAAAAGTTACTAATTAATAAAAGGTAAAATAAATGAAAATAAAACTGGAAAGTTGGAAGAATAGGAAATAAACAATACGTGTGTGATGAATGTGGTGTAATCACTAGTATAAAATATTATGGAACGCTAAGTATATTTTACACAAATTAAATGCATAACTAAGATTATGTGGTTATGAAATGTATGTAGGAATAAAATAAACTAAAATAAATAAGTTAGTAAATAAAATGAAATTCGATAAATGTACTATGAATTATGTAATGGGAATTGAATTTAATTAAGACTGTAATAGAGTAGTTAAAGATGTAAGTGTAGTAGATTTCCGACGTACACTTATAAATTGTGTATGAACCGGTAGAAAGCTGTCTGCCTGCAAATGATATTCATATCGGGATGATACAGGCAAGTACGGTTGCTCACGTACAACGTTACACAGTAGAGCCTGATCCCGGTATTGAGAAAATAGTTGTAGGATGTGGTCGAAACTGCTTGATTGCTTGTTTAAAGTGGGTTTATGTTTGTTGATATACAGGGCCTCACGGATTTTAAGTCGACCAGGATGGATTTCAGTGTCAAGTATCGTAGAATTCGAATCCAAAATGGTCCTGGTGAGAGGCATATGGTGTTCACTAACCATATGGTTCTTTATTG